CCTTGAAGCACCTGCCACGCTGAACGTATGAACGAAGTCACTCGAATTGCTAGGCCATTCCCATTTATAGGCCTCCTTCACTTTGATACGGAGGTGAAGGAGCATCATTGGATATGGGGCACTAGTTTAAGTGGCCATGCCCATATGGCGGTGCTTTCAAAAGCTCCTGTTAGTTTAGCTTGGTTTCCGCATTGTTCGACTAATTTCCACATCACGTTTCATTTCTAGACACAGAAGCCTACACCTAGGTAATCATGGAATTCGCCGATTCCACCTCGGTTCTTCTTCGTGCGTCCTCGAAATTAGTAAAAACGATCAGTGCTGTTTTAGAATGGCCGAAACCGAGGTGGTGTTTGAGTGCGGCTCACGCGTACCGTTGCCCAGCTTGCCATCTCCATTCATCGCTTTTTTCCGACGAGTCGCTGAGAAAGCACCGGGCTTCAAAACCGTCGTTGATTGGGAACCACAATCCTATTGTGCATTACAAGCGATGCAGTTCTTCTCGGGTAATACTGGTGAGTTTTCGATTTTGAGTTCTAGCGCAGTGGGCTAGCAAACAAACAACCTGCGGTTGTGAGGTTAGTGCGCTCCCGAAGGTTAGGAAATTCCCTCAACAGTCTAAAAACTGCTAAAGGTGACCGAAATCACTGCACGTGATGTCTAACGCTCCTTTCAAAATTCCTAACTCACAAAATATGGTGATTCGACAATAATGGAGGCACTTCTCCATTTCCAAGAAGTTTTCTTGAAGTGATATTTTTCACTAAACTCAAGGCGTCGTGTACGGTGAAGCAATTTCTTCGTTTTACTTGTGAATGAGCTGTTTGGGTGACAAAATATCTGGGATCGCGATGAAAAGCAGCCCTTGGGGAGTTAATCTACTAGACTGACGCTGGCTCAATAAAAGGTCTAGACCAAAAGGAGTCATGGAATTAAATCCATTTCATTTCACGCGTTCGACACGCTTACACGTGTTGTCTATCAACGCTACCATTTGTGACAGTTTTACGGCGGGAATTTGAATTACTTATAACCACCTCTACATCGCTTTTTTATCATTGATTTTGAGGATATCGCGCATGCCATAAAACGCAGAATACGTGTGCCTGATTACGGCCATTCGATTTTTTTCTAGAAAGTTCGTTTCTGGGAGAAGGCTGCTGGGACATGTTTCTAGAAGTGGATTTCTGACAAACATTGCCGTCTCCATATTATCCTTCTTTGGAACCTCGCGGTCTCATTATTTAATTCTTCTGTGCCACGCGAGGTTGATAATTGGAGCATTCATTAACTGGCCTGACCTTCCAACCTTTTCGTCTTCTTCAGAAACACCTCGTCCTGAAAACAGCTCGAAGCTTTAATCTTGTAAGCTACGCGAACTTCTGTGGTGATGCAAGTGACCAGTCATTTGCACCACCACAGAAGAGGTTGCCAAGGCTTCAACAGCATGAAACATCAGGAAGGCGCCGGGACCAGACGACATTCCAACGGAATTCTGGAAAATGGAAGGACAGCGGCAGATTGGAATTCCATGGCTCACGCGATTTTTCAATGCAGTCTTTACCAAACGAATGGCCTACGAGCATCACTATACCAATCTTTAAAAATAAAGGAGATCCTGCGGAATGTTCGAATTACCGCCCGATTCGTCTGTTGTCGCATACTATGAAGATCTTTGAGCGGATCCTCGATGAGCGTTACGCGAAATCGTCGAGCTGAGCATCAACCAGTGCGGATTCGTAGAGGGCTCTGGAACAACCGATGCAATTTTCGCCGCACTTACTCGCTCATACTTTTGGAGAAACATCGGGAAAAACAAAAGCCGCTCCATTTAGCCTTCCTAGACTTGGAAAAAGCGTACGACCGCGTTCCACACCAGCTGATCTGGTATGCGCTCCGTGAACACAGAGTGCCAGAAGTTCTCATCAACTGGATCCGGATGCTATACGCGGGCACCACAAGTCAGATGTGCAGCTGGTCTTTCCAAGAGCTTTCCAATTAACGTTGGCGTTCATCAAGGATCAGCGCTCTGGTGCGACCTGTCTCATCCAGTACGGTCTTCGTCTCAACATCAAAAAAAAAAACCGAGTACATGGAAACTGTTCAAGATGAGGGACTATCCAGGTCACTGGCGAGGATCTACCAAAAACCACCTGCTTCAGGTATCTGGGTTCCCGCCTGCAAGCCAATGGAGGTCTTGAGGACGAGATAAGAAAGAGAATAGGCACGGCATGGATGAGATGGAGAGAGATTACCGGAGTGCTTTGCGACAGACGTATGCCGATTTAAATCGAAGGTATACCGAACTATGGTCCGCTCTACTGCATTATACGGATCTGAATGTTGGCCGAGCACAAAAGGCGCTGAGCGTCAACTTCACGCTATGGAGATGCGGATGCTCCGGTGGTCGCTGGGAATCTCACGTCTGGACCACGTTTGCAACGAAGTGATTCGACGGCACGTGGGTGTTGCGCCTATCACAGAGAAAATGCGAGAGAGACGACTACAGTGGTATGGCACGTCATACGAGCTGCCCCTGATACTGTCGCTGCCACTGCATACCGCTTTGAAGTCGACGGCAAACGACCGCGTGGAGACCAAGACAGCGGTGGCAAGACACGATCAACGAGGACATGAAAACTGCACAGCTGCGCCGCGAAGATGCCCTGAATCGAACAAAGTGGCGCTCTTCGATCCGAACAACGGACCCTGCCCCAGCGGGACAACGTTAAGAAAGAAGAAGAAGCTACGCGAACATACATCTTCCCCCTCTGGCGTTTCAAACGCCGTGTCGAGAAACACCGCGGAATCACACAATACCAAAAAAGTCACCTCAGGTGCCGCCAATACTTCGGAGCATTAGCTTACACCCAGTCAGTGATGTTAGTGCAGGCAAATGGAACTCACTAATGTCTCACGATGTCATGTCGGTCGGATACCGTAAAGCACGTAGCCTACTTTTCTGTAGTCTGATACAGAGGGCAGAAAGTCTTTGGTGATCGACAAGCACTCTTCGATTGTTCGTTCGTGGTTTTCTTGCGAAACCAGAATTATTACAGGCCAAGGTTCCAATTATCAACCCTGTATGGCACAGAACAAATGAGCAATCCATTGCGGTGCTGGCTTGGGATATTTTTCAGTTGAATTCCCCGCTCACCTCAAGTTGCAGTCGTACTCGTCACACCCTTTCTCATTGAAAGCGAAGGGCGCCCGTCAAGATTCAAATGTGTTATTTTCTTCTCATAGTTCATTTTACGATCATCTTGTACCTGGATCTATCCGACCTAGATTGAATTCGACTATGTACCTCATTTCTAACAATAAGCGCAGCACAGCTGCGCCATTCAAGGCTTCAAGGCATTCAAGAAATGAGGTACATAGAAGTGGGAATTGAGGCGTCCGTCATTCAGCAATTGGGAGAGCGAAAGGATTTGACAATTCTAGAACGCGCATTGCGCCATGATCATGTGAACCAGGCTGATTCATTTTCTCATTCACTTTACACCATAAAGAACAGCCACCGACCAGTGAGAGGAGCAGAGAGATGCGTGCAATGGTGCATCGGTCTCCGCCCATATGATCCGGATGCAGTTTGCATCTGATGGTTTTCAGCAACGCTTGTTCCGATGATAGAAAATCACGAGCACTACTCAAGCGAGATTGTTCAGATAATAACCTTCTCGACCTGCACGGTAAGGCTGCGGCCGATCATGTACAGAGCAAAGTCGTCAATGCGTTGAAGGACCACTGCAGCACTGCACAGCCCAACAAGCTGGCCAGAATTGTTGAGCAGGTGAGATTGATCGATATATCGATTACACATGTTTGATACAAAATTTTGCGATTTAGGTCTACGCGTTTGATGAATTTCATATGTTGGGCGTCGAAATGATCGAGTGCTGTCTTGTTCATCACATCAATCTACCTCCAAGCTTGATACGAACCACTGAGGTGATTTACGTGTCATATTCCCTCACTATCAAGCAATGTATGGTGAAACTTGGTTTCTCCAGCATATGTAAGTTAGCTACTATGAACCAAAGATGTAATAACGTGACCTCTCGCTCACTCTGTATGAAATTTTCTAAGGGACACGGTGGTTGGAGCACAACAGGAGCGCACGTGCGTGCGGTTGCGCGCGCTGCATTGGAATTAATCAGTGCTTTCAGAGAAAACACCACCCAGACTATTCAAACTGCTACATGAACAGTCTTTGTTGCGTAACATTTGAAAAAAAAAACATCTGGAAATCATGGGCAACGTTAAGTGGGCGTTCAACCGTCATTTGTGGGGCCAAGTTTTGAAAATCTGTTAGGATTTCTCTTGAACCAGGTACAGCCATACAGTCCCTCCACCCAACAGTCAATGGTGCAACAGTGTTATTGCACCTGCCATCACCTACACATTCCAACCCCGTCCAAAAACTCTTCAACACTGATGTAAAGGAGAGTATACACTTCTTCTACAATTGTGCTCATCTCCGTCCATTTCACCATATTCCTTTCACCACCATGGTACCCCTGACCCAAATAGAACTTTCTATCCTAAAATCAGCAACACGACCCTCCCCCTCGTTGGAAAATTTCGACCGATTTCCGAAATTCCGAAAATTCCGAGTGAACGGTTGACCCTGATCCAGTTTAGTCCGTAAACGTCAGTTAGGAAAAGGTGGCGCAACCGCGCGCGTCGGCACTCCACTCACTCGTTAACGCTTGCAAAAAAATCCATACTATTCTACTTCAGGTCCCGAGGACACCGCTTCGAAGCGCTGATACTGTTCAACCACAACCGACATTACTTCATCAGAGCACTTCACACTTTGCACCTCTTACACACGCCTACTGATGCTGCTACCTATCAACCGTAATCACAGAACGATAATGATTACATATCAGTTATAACCACATATCGATTACGATTACAAACCATAAATCAACCATCTAGAACCAGTCGCTTCCCAAAGGCGATGCGTTATAGATCCATCGTGGATTATACTTTCAGGACTTTTTTCATGTCTAAAGGTGGAGCGCACCTCCCAGATGGCTACAGCAACCTGGACATAGCGTGTCACAATTTCCACTAGGGTCGTAGCCATGGGTTTTAGTAAGGGTAATCTGCTGAGCGCAACCATATGGTCGATGATCAATGAATATCGAAGTCCGTTTTCTGAAAAGGGAGCAGTTGTCCCGTTTCATCGCTTATGAAAATCACCGCGCGACTGCGACGCGTTCGAAGAAGTTCTCTAATTGTAAGGGCCAGCAGGTACCACTTTACATCGCCTCTTTATACTGGCATACCTCGTAGTTTAAGCGCTCAGAAATATTTTTGCTTGGATGTTTGTATGTACAAGCGTAGTCGAGTCCGGCTTGTCAAGCCAGCCTCAGCAGCGCGCGGTCGCGTTACGGCGTATTGATTTACGGCACGCGACTCAGGCGACGCGTTTGACGTTGTTACCAGCACCTGTAAATATTAGGTGAATGAAATCGTGACACAGGCGGTAATTCTGTGCGCTTGCCGTTAACATGGTTGTGATGGTTGTCATCAACTTAATCAATATACTTACCACGTTTAATAACTCATTTTTTCATATCTTGATATCAGCACTTTGCTTCAATCGTTTTCATATCGTTACCATATCGTTACATGTACGCATATCGACCAAACCCCGTGCCATCGAACCACAAATAATAGCTGCAAAACTTTTCTGGCTTACTTAACAAGCTTTAATTTAATAATTCTGCAGCTTAAGTGTAATACTGTCGGTTGCGCGGTGACGAGAGTTGTCTTCTGAGCAACAGCATATATTTATGAGCTTTTAAGCGGATCTCTCCGTGTGAAGCCACTTTTTGCAAGTGGCTTGCTGCTGTTTATTTCCAGAATGAAAACCAGTTTTGTCAGGATTCAGGACAACGTTCGATTCGCTGGCGCAACGCTTGGATCCAGCGATTCGCTAGCGAATCCGTAATAACTTCGCAACCATGGCATCGGCCTAATGAAAACTTCAAACAAGCATAATCTGAACAAAAGAAGCGCATTAGCCAAAGATTGGGTTTTTGATTTCCTGTTGTGAAATCAACGAGATGTGAGTAGTCTACCACGACCACGGATTCTTACAGTGACCATGGATTCTTACAGTAGGCAAGACCCCGGTCGGCCACGGTCTCAGGATCTCTGTCAGCCGCGAGGTCGGCAACTAAGCCTTTTGTAGTGCTGTCTGACAGCTCTCACTCATGCATACACTTACAGCGGCTCTGTTTCCTTCACTGCTCTAAAAGGCGTAGTCTTCCTACTTTTCAGAGCGCATTTTTTTCCATCTCTCTAACTCTTTGGTTGACAGAAGTTTCGCATCCGTCGGCCGCAGACCAGCCCATCACTTCTGCGTCTCTGCCAATTTGCCACGCAATGGGCTTACTGAGCTGCATTCACTGAGCGCCACAATAATGGTGCTGGTTGGGTGGAAAGGTCTGTACGACAAGAAAATGTGTTTTTCAATGAATTTGAGCCGAATCCAATTAACTGGGTTGTTAGCCTCAGGGGGAGTGATTGGCAGGTTGTGCCTTGAAGTCATTCTGGATATTATTTCACTGGAAATAAACAGTAGCAATGGATATTAGATGTAATAGTAGTGAAAATGTACAATTAATGGAACGCTTACTGTAACTGCATCTATGCAAGGTGACCATGTAGCCAGCTGTCCACGCAAATCATACGTATTGATTCCAGCCGACTCATGCTGCCAATGTAAGGCAATGCTGGCACCAGGACCGTGCCAGCTCGGTTGATGGGACGAGCACACGCCACTCCCATCACGCGCGCGGCGCGTGATCGTCCCGTCAATCGCGCTAGCTGCATGTTTTCCGAGTTTAGAAGCAGTCTATCATATCAGAAATAGATAATCCACCCTGATAGAGTGAAATCGCATAAATGTCGCAATCTATCAACTCTAAATGTTAAGTCAGAATTCATGAATCCGGTTTTTCGCGACAGGTGATTCAGTGTGTTTTCGTATGTAACCTTTTACGTTTATATGTTGAACTACTACAGGTTCGTCTCTTACCGCTAGATCTTATTGGCGTTGTTGATTTTTTTGCGATATTTTGGGCGTAAATTTACGCGCAACGTGTGTTTGTGTGCAATTTACCGATACCGATTGATTGAATTGATTGACTGACAAGTGTTCATGTTCTATAACAGACTTGAATGATTTTGAGGAGTTTTGAATAAAACGTTCGAGCTGTGTGATCTTTTCGTGAGCGAAAAGTGGACGAGTTTTCGGTGCTTCTTGAAAGCCCGTTCTTTGACTTATCTGGGCAGTTCTTGGAGATGAACAACGTTTAACGGCTTTCTTTGCTTCTGTATTCCACATGCCTCCTCTTTTCTCACCTCAGCAAGAAACCATTCACTTCGATCTTTCGTGATAGCCACCCATGGTTACGGCAGTAGGTTGCGATAGGTTCCAGTTCTGTCCAGAGTAGAAGGGAAAGGGTTACCATAAAAGTGGACAAACCCATCAAGAACACTCGAAATGGGACCCCTCTGGGTGTTAAGTGGGTTGGGGGGGACCACGCGGCGACGTGAAACTTCGCTCGCCTTGCACTTCGTTTAATCCGTGAGCGAGGGGAGTGGAGGCAGTCTAGGGCAGGCGTAAGTCACGTTGGACCGCTTGGGCCGCGCTTCGACGACGTTGACCGCTCTCCGCGCCGGTATTCGCACTCGCCTTGCCGTCTGTGTCTCCGTGCGTACGTTCACTCTCGGCATTACTCTCACACGCTAGAGAACCATGCGTTGGATTTTGTCCAACGGACGGTTGACCCTGGCTAGGGGGGGTGAGGGGGATGAGGGCGTCATTGACATGTGTGGAAGTTGGCTGCTGTGTCGAGGTTTGTCATATTCGTTGCAACAAGGTGACAGGCGAGTAGAGCGTCGCGCGCCGTGTGGTCTCCCCTAACCCACTTTAGCACCCCTCCCCCTGTTTGCTCGGTGGTTTTCGGCTGTGATGCCTCAAAAAAAAAACGTTTGTTAACAGCCAACATCATGACAGCAAACAAGGAGGTCCTGTCAGGGCAAGCCGCGGCTTTTTCAAACGATTTTCGCATATTGCGAGACACTATGCGGAGAGCACAAACCATGTTTCAGGTGGGTCGCTGAACGCTTTTTGCAGACCAGGAAGGTTTGCAAGGAATTCCCAATGTTCGGATCCGTGGCGACGTTTTGCGTTGGGCCTTCGCTTACGGGTTTGGGTGCTGAACTTTCAAAATCTGATGCTATTTTCGTGGTAGAACCATATTGAAGCCAAAAGTAGCTGCCAACTTTGAATGCAAAATTTAGTCGCTACGGGGGATCGAACCACTGGGAGTAACATGCATTACTTTTTGTACTATAAACCGTTCAGCGAAAATGAAATGTGCTTTTGTGGTTCGTACATGGGTCCCTGCAATATGGAGAGAACCGTTTCAAAAAAGCGCGGGCTTTGAAAGCTCTGAAAGACCCTCCTTGTTGAATTGATAACGCATCACTTGCAAGCGTAGAGGAACCTGGATTTGATCCAGGAACCATGCACGCGGTAGCAAACCCTGTTATCATCAGACCGTCTCTGCTAGAATGAATATTTTTGAAATATAAATCGGCAATCTGATTGCCATTTACAACCATACCTATACAGTAAATATTTAATTTTACAAATACACACTTTCAAGAGTGTTCGTAACTCAATAATTACCTTTTTGAGTGCTGCGCACACTGACCAATGAGCCACGATACGACTTGCTTTATCAACTTATCCAGCGTAACTCGCTTAGACTTCTGATACTTCGCTGACAGAGTAAGAATCGTAAAGTTTCTAGTTGTGCACAATTCCGCCATAAAGCGGGCCCTCCGATCTCAAGTGCCAAAACTGTGGTGGTGCCTATTGACTATGGAAGTGACACACATGTGCACCAACAATAGTTAGAAGGATAAACAGTCACACTGTGGATGACTGCTTTCACGCCTTTGGAGCAGTGCTCGGCTATGGCATGTACCTCTTAGCAAGAGCTCGATATACAGGCAAGCTTCATCTGTGTTCGATGCTTTTCTTTGATTGACGGGAAGGTCTGACATGAACAGAGCGTATAGAATGTTGTTAGGGTTCGCTTTATTTCTGGTATAGATGAGCAACGGGAGCCGTATGAAGAGCCTTGAGGCACGGAATCGTAAAGTGTTGTTCTGTAATTCTCTTGACTCTTTTCAGGATGTCTCCTTTCCGCTTCGTCTAGAAGTCTTACCCTTGCCAAGTTGGCGTGGTCCCTACACAACCGACTTAGTAGAGTGTACTCCATGTGGTTTCTTTATCGATCCATATTCCTGCGTTTTTTCGAGTAAGAGCACGAGTAGCTGCAGTGATACGACGAGCGTTATGATTTGGAGCAGCAACAGGTTCCTCCGATTATTGTTACCGTTTGCACGAGGCTATCGTAGTCAGTTTTGACGTCACCAATCACTTCTACTGTTCGTAAGCATTGCGTCAATGTCTATGTCTAGCTCCGTTGGACCGGAGTGCCTAGAGAGTATTCGTACAGGCGTGCTAGGCTCCGGTCAAGATGGTATCGTCCTCGGAGCAGACAGTGGCCACTCTCTGTTCATCAGGTTCTTCGGCTGTGGACCGATGGATGGACTGATAAAGACCTCCTCAGCTCTCCTTGATCCTGCACGGGCATTAAAGTCGCCTATCTCTACGAGGTACCTACGTTGTATGCAGAAGAGTTCTTACAATTGCTTATACGTGGAAGTCATCGTGCTCGTCTTTTTCGCTATCTGCTAGGGGAACGTAGACATCGTTCAATGTATGTCCCTCGAGAGCGAAGCGG